CCCTATACAACCCCAATATATCCCCTATAATCCCTATATAACCCATTATAGTAGTTTCCATTTCTTTTCCATTATCCCTATATATCCCCAATATATATCCCCTATAATCCCTATATAACCCATTATAGTAGTTTCCATTTTCTTTTCCATTATCCCTATATAACCCTAGATTGACCCAGCGGCTTTCCACCTCACATCCTACATACCTCGCGGATGGAAGGGCAAGCACGGCACGCAACTGCGCTGGCAGCCTAGCCAACGCATGGGAAATCGGTGTAGAAACACGGTGTTTGAGCTCCGATTAGCTCAGGATCCGACCGTTCCTTGTTCATTTTCCTAATCCCCTGCCCTCCCTGAACCCTAAATTCTAGTAGTTTCCATTCCATTTTCTTTTCCATTATCCCCAACATAACCGCAATATGAACCTTAATATAATATACTAGCTTCCAGTTTCTTTTCCATTGTTCCTATACAACCCCATCCCTAAACCCTAAACCCCCTAAACCCTCAACCCTCAGCCCTCAACCTCATATTCTACGCCTAAACCCCAAACTCTTCAGCCGGAGCTACCAGGATGGCCTCCATGGCCTGGATGTGGAAGCGGGATGCCCAGCAATGGACAGAAGTTCGGTTCATGGACATTTAGGGTTGAGGGTTTTAGGATTTTAGGGTTTTGGGCTTGAGGGTTTAGAGTTGCGGGTTTAGGGTTAAGGATTTAGGGGTTTAGGGTTTAGGGTTGAGGGTTTAGGGGGTTTAGGGTTGATCAGCATTTTGCCCAAAACTCCTTAAACGGGGGTTCTGTAGGGTTTAGGGGCTATAGTCTAAAATTCCTTAAGGGTGGTTATACAGGGGGGTTAAACAGGGGAGTATTATTGTGGGTTACCAAGGGGGATGCTAGGAAATGAGTTTATATGTCAATTTTAGCCTGATAGTAAGGACTGCATACTACTTTGGGTAGACCTATTGCCCCTCATGTTGAGCAGCATCCATCTGGGGCATCTACCCTTAAGTTGCCAAGTCAGTGTTAAAACTAGCCCAGGAGAGGGACACCCCGAACGCCAGGATTATGGCGATTAGCTGAGATGCTTGATAATTGCACCACTGAGCTCAGGAGGAGGATGTCGGCGAGCTCGTAAAAGCAGTTGCCTCAGTGATGGTAGGAGCCGATTCATTCTTTGAGCGCACAGCATCTCTTTGGGGGCGGCTGAAATCCTGGTCCCTGTGCATCAGCTTGTTTGCAGGACCGTGTCGCAAAACGAGCTTGAAGAAAGGAAAAGCCACTCTTTTATCAAGGTTCTTCTGGCAGATTGTTGCCGCCTCAGAAGTTTGGGTTGGCAGCTGCTGTTTGTACTAATGATGCATTCCCCTCTATACCCCTTTTAAAAAATGCAATAACATGTACACTTGTACAAAAACACCCTCTACAAACCATAGAACCATTTGTGCACAAATGGTGTGATTCTTGCTCCCTTGGCGAATCGTATTTTACCTTGACGCTAGGGATGCTGCTGTTTCACATTGGGGTTTTGTTGGGGGGAATAGAGCGTTATATGGGATTCATATGAAGCGCTGTCTTTTGTATTGAAGTCTATAGGGGAAACAGCATTTTGGGTTGGAAAACGATAGGCTACTGACCAAAAACGATAGGTCGAAATTTCCAAAACAACTGTGGTCTTAAAGTTGTACTACTCGAGAACGGAAATCCATCCCGGAGACGGCTGTTCCAGTACTAAACTTGCACTGCCAGAGAACGAAAATCCATCCGGTTGCTGGAGACGGCCGTTCCGGTACTGAAGTACTACCAGGGAATGAAAATCCATCCGGTTGCCGGAGACGGCCGTTCAGTCTAAACTTGTACTACCAGAGAACGCAAATCCATCCGTTTGCCGGAGACGGCCGTTCGAAGACTAAACTTGCATTCACAAAAAGAGAAAAGGGGCCACCACCAAAGCTTGATAAACAATAGGCCACTCGCCAAAATCGAACTTGCAAGCCCCACACAAGGAATTTAGACCGTGCCTCATCATATATTGTATACATTGCGGAATGGACAAGAAAACAAAAGCCAGTTTTTGTTTGAGAAGCTGCAACTATGCATTGGCGCTTTTCGTCGAGGATGGCTGAGTTGCCGCGTAGCTGATGCTGAATGAAAATCAAATCACCAGTATGTAGCTGCGATTGATCGCTTGCGGATGGACATCGGCCTGTTTGTAGGCGTTGGGCAGTGACCTGATCTGGCAGGAGACTATCCTGAACCCCCTTTACATGTTTCAGGATCTCACCATGGTTTAGCTGCCTGAACCCTTAACTCTACACAACTGGTAAGATGAATTCAGGAAGCTCATACCTGAGGATCCCCGTGCAATCATGGGTCCCATTTGGATCCCGTGTTTGTTTTCCAGCTTTGGCTTGCATTGGGCACGGATGTTCGCAGTGGTGGTGGTGGTGGTAGTAGTAGTAGTAGTAGTAGTAGCAGCAGCAGCAGCAGCAGCAGTAGTTGTATTGTCGTAATGACGGTCGTTCCCGCTTACAGGAAGAGGTATCACAGGAGGTGACAATAGCCTAGCCCAACTGGTTGTGTTGGTCACTGGCAGTGTAGATGTTGGCAATCCAGTCATTAAAGCCTATGTAAAGCAAAGATCTCAGCGTGAACGGCCACAGCTTCGACAGCCGGCATGGGCATGTAGGGAAGATTCATCCGAAGCCGGAATGGATCAAGGGGCTCAGCCCGCGTAGATCACGTTGTCTAGCCAAGCATGTCGGGCCATGGATTCAATCCATCGCCCTGCAGCAGCAGTGGTAGATATGCTACTGTGGCAGATGCCGCAGCACAGCAAAACACTGAGGCAGTGATGGAGATGCTTGCTCAAGGCTACAGAGTGGATGGCCAGGACTCTCTTGGCAATACGGCTCTACACTGGATTGCATACTTCAGGCTGGACACCCTGCTCAGCCCAGTGTTAGAAAAGCGCGCGCGTCCCGACATTGTCAACAATTGTGGGGAATCTCCAGTACATTTTGCTGCGATGTCTGCCTATGCGGCTGGCCTGGATGCAATGACACAGGCCAATCGAGCTTTGCTCTCGCTGCACGACATGGACGGGCACACCCCTTTCATCGCGGCTGCAAAGCAAGACAACTCTCCCATAATGGAATGGATGTATTTGGAAGGTATTAGCACGGAAGAACAGGATCACGATGGTAGAACTGCCCTTCACTGGGCTTGCTACAATGGGAACAAGAAGACCGTGCAGTGGTTGCTTTCACGATCTGCTAGCATCGTCCACCGAGACCGTGATGGCATGACAGCAATCCACTGGGCAGCCATGAAAGGCCACGAGCTCATTGCAGACATGCTCATGGAGGTCGGGGCCGTAAAGCTTCTGGACGTCCCTGACCGCAACGGGGTAACCCCCATTGAGTTCGCCGCGCAGAAGAAGAACAGGTACATGGTGGCCTCCTTCCACAAGTCCCAGGTCTTGAACTTTCTGCTGGGCAGACCGTATGTGTTTCGCAATTCTTTCGCAAGTTTGTTCGTATGTTTCATTGCCTTCAACATTCTGGTGTTCGCGTTTATATTAGCTCCAGGTATTGCGGCTAGAAATCCAGAAGTAGTGATGCAATGGTCCGTACTCATGGGACTGTCGCTGCTACTATGGGTGCAGTGCTGCTTCTCTGACCCCGGCTGTTTGCGGCCGCGTAGCATACTCCCGCAGCATCACCTCCTGGGCAATGACCCGGTTAAGACGTTTGATGTTGAGCAGCCAATTGAGTCACAGATGGCTCATTGTGACAGCGTTTTGCAGCAGCTTACGTTAACATGCAATGGTGAGGCATCGGAAGTCATGAAGCTCGAGCTGGAGCAGAACAAGTACAATTATCAGAGGCAGCTCTTGCGACAAGCAAGGAAGCGGCTTGAAAGACTTTGCGGCATGGCTGACCCTCGAAGCCCGGCCAAGGGCGAATATCAGCCACTCATTGCTCCAGGTTACCAGGAGCAGGAGCGCATTGCATCTGAGCAAACTCAACTAAATCGAGCCTCGGAGGCTCTTCATGAGCGCGAGAGGTCCACAGGAGCAAGCCTGGGCCGTGCGCGAGTGGAGCAGCTCCTTGCAGAAGGATGTGGCGAGTACCTTTCTCTGGTGGAGAAAGGTGAGTTCAAGCATGTGTGCATCATTTGTCGTGCACGGCGTGGG